AAACCCTAGACCCTAAACCAACCCTAAACCACAGTTTTTGGACCTGCAGCCGCGACTTTAGGGTTTAGGGTTTAGGGTTTAGCTAGTAACATTTTTTTTACGTATACGAAGTTGAGTCTCTGTACACATGTACTATGTGTAGCAGCTTATATCACGACAGCTAGCCTCTCAGGGTTTTCGGGGTGTCTGGCAGTGGTGTTTCAGACCTTCTTGGAATGGAGGAACGAGCGCCGAATGATGCTCATGATGTTCCCGGGAATGCAGAGACGGGGTCCCAATGATGCTCGTGATGCTGGCTCCGATTGGCTCCCCCATGATGCGCGTGATGCTCATATCTCAGTTCTCTTGCCTTCACGAATGCCTATCAAAAGAACTTGCGGACGTGATGCTCGCTCCTTGGCAAGGCCTTATCCGAGAAGCCCTACTTGGAGGATCATGGGACTTAGTAAGCAAGGTTATAAGTCCCCTAATTGCCTAATTGGAGTTATAAGTATAGGTACCCTAATTATAACCCTACTTACTAAGTCCTATGATCCTTTAAGTAAACTGTAAACCCGAACTCGTCGGAGGCCCTGAAGATGCCGCCGCCCAAGAGGCCCAAGCCTCCTCCAATGCCGGAGTTGGAGGAGTCTCCTGTTGTTATAAGGAAAAAAGAAGAAGGCTTTGCGGGCTCTATGGGATGATTTCGGGTTTAATACAGGACAGGGATAGCCTTGAAGAACAAAGAGTTTGGGGTTTAGGGTCTGGATTTTTTTTCGGCCGACGGTTTTTTTTGTAAGGGCTCCAGAAGGGTGTCATGGGGTTCAGAAGAGGGGCCTTGTAAATCCCTCATCCAATGAGGGCTTTCTTCCGGCTCGAAACTTCTATGAGGCTGTTCTGAACCCTAAACTTAAACCCTAAACCCTAAACCTGTTTATGAGGGTTCTATTTTTAGGGCTTGGTTTCGGACTTGGGGTTTCGGCTTCCGAGGAGGGACGTGCGCTTTCAGCGCGGTCATACCACGGCCGCGTTCTTATTACGGAGACTCGCATAACCTGGCACAGATGCCACATAAAGCCCTATAGCTCTTTTCACAACAAGCATTGTAAAGCCTTAAACGTCCCTAAACCCTAAACCCTAAACATCTATATAATGGAACCCTTAAGCTCCATATTATAGAGCTCCATATTATAGAGCCCTAAGCCCCTACATTATAGAACCTTTGTTTGACAGTAACTTCATCTCAGGTTCAAAGCACAGCAGCCTACATATTCAGCCGAGTGCTTGAACTACGAGAACTTGTGGAAGGAAGACGCTGGACAGGAGTTTACAGTTGGTGGTTTTGGGTGTAGGGTTTGGGGTTTGTAATAGGGCTAAGAGTGCGTACTTCTGAGTAGTTTGAGGTTCAGGCTTTTGGCGATTATTGCTTTGACGTGTCATCCTTTCAGCATGATTGGATCCTGTTTTGTTTCTTCGTTATGTGTAGATAATGCAGGTTACTATATCGACCGTTACAGGTAGTGCACCAGTGCAAGTACTGCTCCGAAAAAGATAACCCCGAAGCCTTAAGTCCTTTGCCTTAATGTTTGACCTGCCTGCCGTCGTCCTCGATTGCGCTGATTTATGTTCCCTGAGGATACTGAAGCCACCTAAAGTGCCTCTCATGCCTGTGATCCTGTCTAAACACGGCCTCAACGTCTTTGCGCCCAAGGCATGCGCGAGGCTTGCCCATGCTTGCGCCGGGTAGTGTTCACGAAGACCCAGCACAAAAAACCCAAGGCTCCTATGCTACGCCGGTAGATGTAGAACCCTACGACCCTAAACCCCACATCCCCAACCCTAAACAGGAACCGTAAACTTTGCAAGACAAAAACATCTCCCGATTCGAGGTCAGCGAGACTTTCAAGGATGCGGAGGCCTCGCCACTTCAGTTTTGCCAAGAGGTCTCTTCTGGTTGGTCTGGAACGTGTTTTTTGGGTTTGCGGCTTAGGGGTTTAGGGTTTCGGGTTCAGGGTTAGGGTTTAAGGTTCAGGGTTTGGGCCTGTTTGGGTTTGACAGGAGGCCTATGTAGGATGTACTGTAACTCATGGGAACCATTATATTTCCAACATTTCGCGGGCGTCAATGCGCGCATGTTCAAGACCACGGGTTTACTAATTTTATATTCTGAATATGTGGATGGGGTGTATCATGGTCATAAGTTCATAATTATTTAATGGCTGCCGCCAATG